TTACACGCGTTCCCTCCCGCCGCGACTAGGCCCGGTTTCGTCGGAAATTATGCGCGCTCGCCGAATATTCCGCCTCGTCCGAGGAGGCGCGGGAGTCGATCCACCCGGATCCCGAAGCCCCGTTGATTAACGAGTCCTGCATTTTTTTTATCACGGAATGTATCCTGGACTTTGAAATATACGTTGGAATTCGTGTAACGTATGCGCGGCAATTTCGAAACTTCTACGCGAGCGGGAATGAAAAAAAAAAATCACGCAACTTGGATGCAAATAAATGCGAAATAAATTTGACGCAATATGTAAAAACGTCGTGTATTTTATCGGGCTCGGCGAACGGCAGCGTCGCTTCAACAAATGATTTAGATTGCGGGCGATTTTACGTTACGAAAAAAAAAAGTGGAAAAAAGAAAAAAAAACAACTGAAGAGAGAAACGCGCACACTTTGACATCTGGCGCATCTGGCGATATATCAACGCGATGTATTAGCTCCAAATTGCGTCCGGCCTGTGTACATCGAAGTCGCATCTACCGGAACCGGAGAGTGAGCGCAGACTCGACACTTCACCCGCGGGACTTTCGAGAGAAGAGAAGAGAGAGATCGCGCGACGCGAAATCCCCGCCAACGCGACATTCGCGCTCGCTTTGCACGTTGCGCAAGAACAACGACGGATCGCGGGGCGCACCACAATTAATATCTGAAAAATTAATAACCGAGCTAATGTCACTTCTTGCGCGGCGTCGCGCCGCAAGTAAATCACGAAGGCAGATCCGGCAGAGCAGCGAATGCCCTCGCAATAATAATTATTCTCCAAACGCAAGACCGGCAATTAGCATCTCATTGGCTCATTTCTCGCTTATGCTAATGGGAAATATTATTTAAGCGCGTGTACGAAGGGTTGTCTCTCCTCCTCCGTCTTCTTCTTCTTCTCTCTCTCTCTCTCTTTCTTGTCCACTTCAACGGCGGCTTCCTGCGCGCGCGCGCGCATACAGTTTTGTGGCTCGTCGCCGCCTCGCGTTGCTCACTTTGCCGCCTTCCGCTGCCGCGAAAGACGCGCGCGTCGTTCCGTTTACGACGCGCGGCCGAAGAGCCGGGACGGAACGCCGTTCTGTCCGCCCACGTGGTGTCTCTTCGCGTGGTTTCCCCGTTTAACCTCGGCAGGAAATTCCCCCCGATTTACCGGAACGCGAGATGCCCTTCGTCTGAGAGCGCGCCCTACAGAACGTCTGCGATCGTGGAGAGATCCTCGCGAGATTCCTCGGTACATTCGACTTTCAAACGATTCCCTCTCGCCTCTCTTTTCTTCCTCGAAACATCTCACCGCGCATGTAATATTCGTAAGAATGATTGAAAAAAGAAATAAGGAGAGATAGAGATAACGCATGAACGGAGGAGAAATCGTCGATGTCGGTCTTTGAAGTACCGTTAAACCGTTTCGTTGTGTGCGGTTCGATTAACCGCTGTTTGCATCGTTCGCGCGGATGTTGCATTTCGTTTGTTACGATCAGTCGACGGCGCTCAGAGGCCCGAACTTTCGCCGGGACGCAATTGTTTTTCCCCCAGGCGAGAAACAGCGGTCACCGCGCCGAATTTTCCGCACTTCGGAGCCCTTTCACGCTCGCTCGGCCGTGCGTAAATGGAAAAGAGAGGAGAGAATGGACGAGAAAAGGTCTCTCAACCGCGCTGCGGTAACCATCGGAGAGATCTGGCGAAGAAAACGGCGGTATCTCTTTCTCTCTCACTCTCACCCAAGAAAGAAGAAGAGAATCGCCGGCAGAGAAGGCAATCTCACTCGGTGACTTTTCCGTTCTGCGAAATTATCGGCAAAAAAGCTCCGCTCGATTGGCGTTCGCGGGACGCACGAGAAGGGTGTAAGAGGGGGAGAAGGGTACCTCTCTTTCTCTCGGAGAAGATAGAGAACGGCCAGGGTACGAAGAGGAGAAGAAAAGAACTGCGGAGAGTTCGAGAGGCCGAGGGAGGAAGAGAACGCGAAGGGTCGAAAGGATGGCGAGTCGTACGAGAGATAGAAGGTGAGAGAGGTGGTAGGTAGGTGGTGGACGAGACAAAAAGCGCGAACGTTACGTGCCTCTTCTTTACGATAGAAGCTCATTGCTCGTAGATTGCGATTTGCCACGGACGTAATGAAGCCACGCCACCTTCTGCCGGCCTTCCACCGGTAAGCGACTACTACGCGCTGCTGCAGGGTTACTGCACCGACCGACCGACCGACGGACGGACCAGTACAACGACGAGTGCAGCCCCGAGCAGCCCTGAGAAGCTGTTCCTCCTTTCCGATGCTGCGCTGAGGCAGGTTGCTTGCTTGGCGGCCGTAGTAGACGATTCGAAAATTTTTCTCCGCCGAGTCCATTTAACTCCCTCGATTTACTACTCGTAACACCTGCCAGAGCCGGCTTTTTGCAAATGCACGGGGATAGCCTAGAGCTATAGACGCGCGTGCAATCGGCTCCGGAGGGAAGGACAGTGCGGCCGCGGAATAACGTCGACCATAGATGCTTCCTACCTCTCTCTCTCTCTCTTTCTCTCGCGGTGCAAGAGAATCGGAACATAAATCACCGGTGATATTTGCTTCTTGTGTTGATCGACCGAGAGTTAATAAATGAAGTTTCAGCCGCGAGTTCCGGGCGAAGAAAACACGTTCTGGTGGAGAATGTTTCTCGCGCGATTCTGTCGCGATCGTTTTGTATATTGCGGACACGGTCGTTACTATTGAAGAGTAACCCGACCGACCGTTTTCACTTTCAACGTTTCCGCGTGTACAACGTTATTTTCAGACGGAATCGGTCGACAGTTGTGACAACGGTGGCGAGTGATGCAAGTTGCACCTTGCACGAATATTCGCAACCCGATGCGGCCGTGACGAGGCCAGGTAACGGACGTGACGTTTCGAAAAATTGTGGGCAACGGTGCGAGAACAACGTCGACGAAATGCATTCCTCGTCGCCACTCTCGCTACCTCTTTTCTCTGCTCAAAAAAAAAAAAGCCAGCCGAAATAAGCGCAACAGCGGTTTAGCATTAACTCCATGCATCTCGAGAAATATAGCGTTTGAATGCGTTTTAATAATTTAAAACTGTCCCTCGTAAAAGACCGAGAAAATTCTCGCGCGAAAATAAAGCGACCGATCTTTATATCGCGAAAGCACATTTATCGAGTTATACTTACACTCTTTAAATAAAACTGATTCTAGAGATCAGACTCCACTGATCGAGATTTTTATCGAGATAATTCGGTAAGAAATACAAATTTAACTTTCTCATGGAGTGTTGTGCAGCAATTCGTTTTATGATTTCTCTTCGTATGTTTCCAAATGTATTTCGAATTTTGTTAATATCTTGCTTATCCTATCTCAAATCAAGACTACAATTATATCCGCTTTGATCACAGCGATAAACTTGCTCATTCTGATTATATTGCTTAAACATTAACTAGTGAATTTCAGTAAATTTTCAGTTGGGATTTCAAAGTTGTTAAGAGAAAGAGACTTCGGATTTACCGGGCGACATATTTCCGCTATTTCGCACGGCGGAAAATTTCACGAAAAATCCCGCGAAATAGCGAGAAACGAGGTAGGAGAGCCACGTCGGAAACGGCAACGATTCCACGAGGAGTTTGTAATGGCGGATCAGTCCTAAGTCGTCCTTAACCACCGCCGATGAAGCCGCGCGTGTACGCGTTCTCGCCCGACTCCGGAATACACTCGGAGTTATTTAAAAAGCCCACTCTACCCGTTATCTCGATCGGAGAGCGCGGAGGGTCGCTTAAAATATTTCTTCCTCGCGTGTTTCGAAGATCCGTCGAAGGTTCACTCGAGGCAGTGGGAAAGGGAGATAGAGAAAGAGAAGAAGAAAGAATGAAAGAATATGTATGTGTGTGTGAGAGAGAGAAAGAGAGAGAGGGGGGGGGGAGGGGACACCGCTGTCTGTCCGTGAGGGAAAACAATACCGTAAGGGGCAACATCGCCGCGTGTTATCCCAACCTCTAATTACCGCGCTATGAGTTACGTCTGCGAGTTACATCACCTATCTTTCCGAGCGCGGTGCCATATGCCCGGCAGACCAAAAACCGCCGGTGTTATCCCACACATTACAGACCACTTATTTACAATAACATCTCGGCCGGGTCTTTGCATAAAACATTACCCAGTCACTCGATTCGATCTGTTAACGAAGGAAAAGTTAGCCGGGGCCGATTATACCGCTTTAACCTCGTTCGTAGAATGACAGAGGAATTCGGCACGGTGGTTTGTTCCGGTCAGTGGGACGCGCGCACAGACACACGGACAAGTATACTGTCTTCCTTATCGCCGTATCTCGTGACGAATGTATCCGCCCACACGAAATATTCGTGTATCCGCGTTTCGACCGGCCAAGTGACGACGAACGGAGGTAAGCGCGCGGGGAGAACGGCTGACTGTGTTCCGTTAATTATTCCGCCGTTGGGAGAAGCTCGCGGAACGCTCGCGCGCTGTCTCGCTCGCGCGTCGTTGCTTACTTCCCGGCTCGTTATTTCGTCGGGCCGACGTAGCCGTATTTGGGTATCTCGACGGGCGATCGCCCGATGAAATTGAGCGATTAGGAGCTGCCGGAGAGCCGTCAGGGAAGACGGAAGAACGCGACCGCGACTTCTCGCTATTTACACGCCGCTACATCGGATAACGCGCCCCGCTCGCTCCCTGCGAGGCGTCTTCCTCTATCTCGCGTCTCGGTTTAATTGGTCCCGTAATTAAGCGTCGATGCCTCGAGAGGAGCGAGCGCGCGACGTCTCGCGATTTTCGCGCGCGCGTCTCCCGAGGAGAAATCGGCCGATTCAATGGTGGAGAGGCGTACGATTTCTCGCGTCGAGGACGAAATTATGCGGGGAGATAAACGGGGGGGGGGGGGGAAGGG